GATTTTAAATTTTAACAAGCAGAGTAACAGCTACGTGAGTAATACACACCTGATGATGGCCATTTAGGGCCGAAACATGTAGTGTGGAGGAGAAAAAGAAGTAAAAACTACAATAAAATTGTTGCACTTAAGAAGGTGTTTGTCCATATATATTGTGTGAGTGTAACAGGATGCTGAAATATAATATTGTAATTGTAACATATCTTATACACCAAGCTATAGAAAAAGTGTAAATGGAGGGCTGACTGTATTGGTCATAATTCTTAATATTGTAAATTATTTTGATACAAAACAAGTTCTTTCTTTCATTGCCATACCCATTACAGATATCAGGAGTCAGACAGCTTCAGATAAAGGGCTTGTAGTCCATATCTGTAAAAATGATGGAAGTAGTCATGAAGATGGTCATGGATCCCTACATTCCAGCATGAATCCTGAGGACTATTCCAGAACTGAAGACATCAATGGAAGAAACGCAAAGAGAACCACAACAATCTTCATAGATCTTTCTCCAGATTCATCAGATAACCATGTTACAAAAGTGGGATTAGTTCAAAATGAGATGCTGAAAATATCAGGGAATGAAGAATGTAGTAAATCAACAGGAACTTTGCGGTCACCTTCCCTTATCATGAAAACAATCAACAATTCATCACAGGCTCAAGAGCAAGAAGAAAACAAAGGGGAAAATTCTAATCAACACATGCAAGGAAAGAAAGGAATTACCAGCAATAGTATCAATACACAAACTGGAGCCCCTGTTGCTGCTCCAAGGACCAATAAGATGTATATTCAGTCACAAAACTTTACAAATAGATGCAGAAGCAATTTATGTGCCAAAAGTGAAGAAAACAATATAAATAGTAAATTATTTGTAAAGAGACCTTGCATAAACTCTCAGGGTGAAGATGATAGAAATACAGAAATTCTGGAAGCTTCCAGCCAGCTAGCTGCTCTGAAAGAACTGTATTATAGCACAGAGCTGAGCGATGATAGTGAGCGTGCAGATGAAGAAGTTCGGTCATACATGAGTGGTGGTGGAGATGAAGATGATAGGGATCAAGATGAAGAATCAAGTAGCGTGGTATCTGGCAGCTGGAGCAGAATGAGGGCCTTTCGCAATATTCACCATCATTTCCACAAGTTCAACACTGGCCACAAAGGTATTTGATGTAGGAGAGCCTTCTTGAATATTATTTTAAACCTTTCCTTCACTGCTGACCAAGGATCTGAAGTGTTTAATGCTGAGTGTGGTTCCAAAATTGTTAAAATAAATAATTCCTTTCTCATTAATAATACAGTGAAACTTTGTTCTTTGCATCACCTCAGTCTGCATTGACTGTAGCATTTAAGTATGGAAATTATATAACCTTAAAATTTTTCTTACTAACTACTAATAAATGCTATGTTTGCTGCTAGTACAGGTTTTATATATGATATGTGAAGTTCTCATGACAATGACTATGCAGATTACTGTCTCTGAGATGTGATGCCATGTTGTCTGGTATATCCTTACTAACATTTTGGAGGATCATGTTATATTTATTTTCAGAGTATAAGAATAAGACAAACATAAAAAAACATGGTGCAGATATGGTGGGGGGGAATGGGCAGGACCAGGGCACTAATTAAACTGATAGGAGTAAGGAGAAGAATGAATCAAACAACTGACCCTTAAAATGATTTCGTTTGGAGCAGAATAATTTGGAGAAAAGTGTTAACTAATTGTAGGTAGAGCAAAATTAAGAGGAACAGGGCAAGGAAATAGTGTCCCATTAGGGCTTGTGTCAAGGTAGAATGCATGTAAGCAAACACAACACTGCCAAGGGCAGATTCAGGAGGCACAGTATGAGGAACTACTATGTATAAGATGCAGAAAAAATCATGAAGAGGAGAAGATAAAGGATAAATTAAGTAAATGTGATGTAAGAGGCAGGATAATGCAGGAAGATCTAACACCTACAGGAGCAGATCTAGAGGGCAAACTAGGGGGGAAACAACAGTACCCTTTCTATCAAGTATCTACACATGTAGCTTGTGTCATCATGGAGGCAATGGAGATAGAGATCCAGCACAATATAATGAAGAAGGAGGATGGCCTCTGATTAATTGAGTCATGGAAATCTCTCATTTACTCCCTGAAAGAATGTAAGATGCCTCTGTTGCAGAATTTCTCTGTGGTATTTTTCTCTAATCCACTGATAATTCAGGGTAACACTACGCTTTTCAGGGCACCAACACTGTCATTGTTCAGACCTCCTTCCTCTTCCTTCCTTCTGTGTCTTATTTATGTAGATCAACACTTCTCCATTTCTCTATTTTTCTACTTCTTTATTTTAGCTACTGAATGAGATGCTGTCAGTGTTGTCTTCACTCCAATTAGCTCTAGCCTTGATAGAATCCCTCGAGAATCACTGCTTCCTTATTCTTTTTCTACAGACTTCCTTCTATGTCCAATTGACTCACTCAGTCATTTTCTCCTAAAGCATTCCACACTCCAAAACGGACCCTTCTAAGGGCCAATGATTCTTGCCACTATTCTCCTTACTCTTATCAGTTCACTTTGGCTCCTTCAGAACCACATTTCCGGTCCTTCCTTACAGCCATACAAAGTGTTTACCATGCTCAGCTTATTCTTTTATACCCTGAACACAGAGGCAGAAGGTTCCTCCGAATCATTAGTAACTGCACGGCATCATGTGCGAGAAGACAGTAACCTTCAACTTCTACATGGTCATGGAATGATTTGAATATCACTGATTCATCATCATCAGTAATCTGTCAAGACGACAGGTCCACAGTCTCTTCCAAAACAATTCCTCCATTTAATGCAATCTAGAGCTTTCTCCTTCAAATGACAGTATCCTCTTCTGTCCCCAAGGTCATCCAGCATCTTCTTAAGTCTTCTTCCTCATCTTCTTGTCACTTCTATCTGCCCCTCTATCTTTCCTTCGATAACTTCTTTTAGAAGGCAGTTTCTGCGTAAAACATGACCAATCCAATTAGCCTTCCGTTTTCTTATTTCATGTAGGATATTCCTCTGCTCACTGACTCTAATTAACACTTCTTCATTTTTCACATAATCGGACCAACTGATCTTCTCCATCCTTCTCCAACACCACATTTCGAAACTTTCCAGATGTTTCTGATCTACTGCCCTAAGTGTACATGTTTCAGCCCCATACAGAGCTATGCTCCAAATGTAGCATTTCACTAGTTTCTTCTTCAAATTTAAGTCCAATTTGCTGGTAAAAAGATTCTTATGTGAAAAATATTTACAAACAAATTACTTTAGTACACTACAATACTGGGCATTATTCATTGTCTCACTTATGTCTGATATATATATATTAAATTTCAGGATGCTGCTCTGTTTCCGTCTTCAGGTGATATGTTTCTATTGTACTTAAAGATATCTTTTGTTGTACTCTTTCTAGCCTCCTTTCCATATTTTGAAAAAATAGAAGGAGGACTGGGAGATCACCTTGCTGGTTGTGTGTCTGTCCAATGTCCCCAAAGCTTGAAAACCCTAATAGTGGGGCCAGGAGAGACGTTCATTGCTAGTCAATGGCTCATTAAACACAATTCTCTGGCAACTAATATACATTCAACAACAGAAAAACTGATGGTCTTGGTGTTTTTTATGTTCAGTACACATAATAAACAATATGTACAGAAAAGAAGACAGGCATTTAGTTCTTCCCAGAACTATTTGTAGCGGGATCAAACTTGGAGTCTATTAGAATACTGAAGCTATGTAACTGTAGTTCAGCATACTGTTGCATTACTGTCAATCTTCAGTGGATAAGAGATTTCGTTGTTCAAACACAACGTTTTTATTCTTACCTTCTATCCTACATACACTCTACTGCAACAATAAGAATTCTTCATTCCACCAACTGCTCCACAATCACCCTCACCTATCATCTGGGGCTGGTACAATAGGTCAGAAGTGGCCGCAGTACAAGGGACTTAGTCCCACCCCACTAGCAATAAAAAAAAAGCCTGAGAATGGTTGTATGAGGTCGTATTTATTGTATTTGTGTAGGATAAAAAGTAAGAATAAAAACATTGCATTCAGATGTTAAAAACACTTATCCACTGAAGTTTGCTGAAGCTCTATGCTGACCACTACATAACTTGTTTAGGTTCATTCCCATATAGGTACAATTGCATTTGCAAATGGCACTGAAACATCATACTGGTCTCAATGCTTCTGCCAGTTTTGATGATGTTCACTCTCATTCCTCATGGGTTGAATCCTGCACTGCCCATCTCCAACTGCTCCTTCCTTAGGGCTGCCTGTCCTGAACAGGCATTCAAAAGTTATTGGTGGTAAGGGGGGTGGAAACAGCTACCAAGGTGATCTCATAAGCATACATTAACTTTTCAAATTGTATATATATCAATTTTAAAGTATATATATATATATAAATCACTGGTATAATAGCAACATATGTTAAGTGTTATCATTGAAAGTGTTGTCCAATCAATATCCTCTTATTTTCACTCCACCTAGCGATGACCACTGTATTTACCATGCATTGCATATGATTAGACAGCAGACAGATGTAATACATAAATTAAATTAATGTTTTAGTGATAATCCCAAGAGTATTATTGCTTATTTTTATTCAGTTATAAATTCTGTGTAATTTTAGTCCCATGATTTGTTTGTGTTTGTATGTGCATGTTTGTGTGCGCGTGCGTGCATGCTTGTGTGTGCGTATGTGTAGACCAAGGGACACAAGATGCCAGGAAGAGCCAACAGAAGGACCGAAAGGTCAGTTTGAATTATTTTAACTGGAATAGGCCAATATTTAATTTTTGATGATATTGATGATTGAATCCTATGTTTTATTTCTCAGATCATGCTGATGGTTCACCCATGTTGAAGCTAGACAGCAGTAAAGAACCTTCTCTCCAGAGGTCTGTCACTGAAGCTATGTTGCCATCTTATAACAATTCTGGTCGTTTACGTGAGGTGGAGACGTTGGTTAGCACCCATTCAGGGCATCCCAAAATTACGTCTATATCACTGCGGTATGAAGGAGAACAGGACAACGATCAATTGCCCAAAGTCTGTGATAGAAATCCTGACTGTGATAGGCATCAAGCCACCTTCCATAGTTTGCCTTCCTCTAAGAAGGGAAGTTTATATACAACTGAATTCAAGCATCCTACAGATTTTGAAGGGAATCTATCTTCTACCACAGTTTCTAATAAATCCTACAAGTCACTATTTTCTCAGCCAAATGGGAATTCAAACTCAAGTAAATCATTATTTACACAAAAACAAAAGAGATTGTCACCAAGTTTCGTTGAATCTCCATTTCAACCAGAAAGGGAAACTTCACAGTTTAAAACCAGTGAAAAAGATTATGAAAATTTAAATCCAAAGAGTACAACAAGAAATAACTGTGACCCTTTGGACACAGATCGAACCATGTTTTTGCTTGGAAGGAAAGTACGCCACCCAGAGACAAATGAATTCTTCTCAAAAGGCAGTGGTAAACAAGAGTCAGGTCCTACAGCCCCATCAGACAAAAGATTATCAAATAACAGAAGGTCTCTCTCTCCTGTAATGAATAAAATGGGGCATAAAGTTCAAGAGAAGAAGCAATTTCATTCTTCTGTTCTGACAGAACACAGAGCTTGTGGTTCTGGCAATTCTTCAGATGCCATCAGAAGCATAAGGAACGAGAATGAAGACATAAAGAAGGAGAGACTCAATATCACAGAGGAAGAAACAAAGAAGGGAAGTTGTTTTCATTCAAAAACATTATCAAATGAAAATCACAAGCCACTGGAAGGAAGTGAGGAACGTACTAAAATTAGTGATCATTATAGCAACAGAGAGAAGAGGCATAGTCAAATGAAGTCTACTTGTTCTATATCTACAAAACGTGATAGGTCATTGAGCCCAAGTGAAATAGTACATCCACATACAGGTTTGCCTGGTAACAAGTTGACCATGTCACCTCTGTATGAAAACTTGAGAATGCTGGCTGTAGAACCAACTGCAAAATCTAATAGTCAGAATGTGATGTCTGATACAGTAGAAACAGAATCTGCTATTTTGGAAGAATTGACACGGGCAGCAGACCAGATCCTACAGGCTGTGAATGGCTACACAGATGAAGAGTCTTACAAAGCAAGTAGTGATGAGCCTGATGATGAAATTGTGAAAGATGGCAGGAAAAGAAGAGGAAACAGATGTGGGAAAGTGCGAAGACCATCAGTCAGCCTTGGTACAATCACAGAAGGCGCATCTTCTAAAAAGCATCAAGAAACAGGGAACAGCACTTCAGAATTATATACCCATAAAAGTACAGCCAGTGGTAGGAAGAGCCACCAGCGCTTAACAAAGACACGTCTACTTCCCACATCTTCGACATCTTCAGTGGAGAGTTTGACAAGAGAAATCCCTCAAGTGCAGACAAGAGCACTGTTGAAACAGAAAGGCACAAGTAGTATCAATAATTGTAACAAAAGCAGGGTGTCAAGTAGTTCAACATCTAGCACAGCCGTCAAGCCTAGTTGCAGGACAGTGAGACTGTTGCAGCGTGCAAGTAGTCGTGAACTGCTATTGCAGACTTATGCAAGTTCCTCTGAAGATGTTGCATCAGGTGTCGAGGGAGGTAACAACAGGAAACCAATGGTTCCACGACGTACAAAAATTCATAACACCAGCAATAATAAGACTGATCATGCTAAAACTAATTTAAAGAAAAATACAATATCACCAGATTCTCATCCCTCACCATCAGCAACTGCACAGCCAAGAAAGAGAGAAGCAGACATTAACAAACCCAGAGAAAGGTGAGCAAAGGTGTCTTTATTGCTGGACGCCCAGAAATCCTTGATTCAGAAAACATCATGTGCAATATATATCCTTTCGTTTCTTTCATTTACACCCTTGCATGCACTTCATTAAACAGAACTTTGCATGACTTTGGAATGCTGTATAAATGGTTTAAAGATTAAGACTCCTTGGAAATGGTCAAAGAATCTGACCCATGGAATTGTTTTTGACCTTATTCTGTGTCTGTGAGTGAAGATTATTGTTAGTATTCAATGGGTTAATATGCATGAAGTAAAGAATTGTTACCACTAGAAGTCAGAGATTGTGATGTAAAAGACATTATGCATTTCTTCCACAAATTGAATGCCTATATTGGAGGCTCTACCCATTCGCCTGTATCATTTCTGAAAATACAGAGCAAACAATATTGAAATTTAATACTTGGGGTTTACACTGTATAGTTTTCTACCTTTGGTTTTCCTCAGTCCAAATTGGAGTACATCCTTCTGCTTTCATATGTCAAGTTCATATTTTAATCAATGATTCAAACTTGATTTGAGCATCTAGGGAAATGACTGGTTCACTAAAGACATATTTTTCCACTCCTTAATTGTGATATCTTACAGATTTCCTGGGTCTACTAACAAAGCCGTTCCTTTGGCAAGGAAGGTGAATGGTGATGGATCAGGCAGCCCAAGTGGAGTAAAGCACCATACTTCCAGGACTAGAGAGGATGAGAGGCATCAAAGGGGAAGTAACAGGCCTACAACTAGGAGAGACAATACAGATCTCAGACACAGAGCTCAAGGTAAGCAACTTCCACTATTAATTGTTGGGGTGCCACTGGGAAAGTTTTGATGACAATTATAAAGGTAAATTTGTTCCTGTTTATATGCACCATGACAAGAAGGCATATAGGAAGGCGGGAAATGAAGTTCCTGGACACAAAATCGAGGTGAGTGGTCAGCTTCACTCTTTGATGAAAAGCGGCCACTCCGCTCTAGATAAGAAACTAATAGAACCGAGAACTAATCTTAATTTGGTGGCATAGAGAAAAATCCTCATTTTATCCAGTTTCTTCTGCTGATATTTAGGGTTCCTTTTGTATCGATATTTAAACTGCAATACAGGTCTAAATATTTCTGATGATAGTGTGTAACAACAAACATGATTCTACTTGATGATGATGGTAAGGTAAAGTTGTCCCTGTGCTTAACTAATTAAGCACTATCCCATGAAGGCATATGAAGGAGTAGATGTATAGATCCACATTTTCATGACAATGGCATTAGCTAGAGGTGAGTGGCCAGCTTCACGCCCTGGCCACTTTACCCCAGGGGAATGAGCCCCGGGTACCCATTGGATAGGAGGTTGGGTGGACTCCAGACAACATAGAAAAGACAAAATTCTTGACCCTACCAGGACTTGAACTCTGACCCATCAGTCGTCCAGCCCATAGCCAGTCGCTATACCGACTACACTATCCTGGCTCCTGGATGATGGACAATGACCAAAATAATAGTCATGTTTATTGTAACATTGGTGTTGCAGTATGGCTGGAAATATCTCTGCATAAGAAGAGTGATTTCTCTTGAAGATTATCTGCTTACCATCTAATGGCTAGCAGGCCAAATCAGTCATGTAAGCTGTGTTGTCTATGATAGCAGAGGTACTGAGATCACATAATATTGCTCAGGAGAAACATATTGTAATGCATATGCCCATGGCTAGGCAACGGATTGATAAACATATTCCCACAGAAGCAAAAGCGCTGAACAACAGGGCATCTGTTGCTAGGCAACGCCCGCAATATGCAAATGTAACAATAGAAAAGGTATTGCAAGAAATGTTTTCTATCTCGTTCACATATAACCATTGGTGGGCAATGGATGTTTTCTAAGGGTTCACCTTGTGTGGAGGCGGTGTCGAATTCCTCCACCATAACCCTGTGTGTTGTAGGAGGCAACAAAAAGGGAAGTCTCGAATCTGAGGTAGTAAAATATGATCACGAGTCCCACGGGACTCAGACCCGAAAATGACTGTGCTGGCGAGGGCCAGCAGCAATTGTAAATGACAGACCTGTCCTCTTGTCGCAGAGAGCTCCTCACATCAACAAACTTGGGACCATCTGACAGTAATATAAATCTGGTTGTAAACCTTAAATGGGTGTTTTAATCCAAGACAGACTGGCTGACTGACCATCGGTCGTAACATAAGATTCGACTCGACTCAAATCGACTCAAATCGGAAAATGAGGAGAGTTAGAATGAGAACAAGAATGGAGTGAGTCCTTGGCAGTCATGGAAGAAGGGTTCAGCTGAAGATTGATTGTGATTATGAGTGACTGTACAAGAAGGTGTTAATAAATCCAATCAACCAATCTAAAACCTGCTATTATTAGTCATGGAGCCATAAACACATGACAGTATTTTCTGAACTTTAAGTTGGAGAGAAAAATTGAACTGCTCTATGAAGAATTAATAAATTTGTGAATTAGTAACATTAGAAATATTAATTAAAGAATATGTTCTTCAGACCGGAGGTTAATTCACTTACAGACAATATGTTACATGTTATACCTAAATCATAGTCAGACCATGCAACATTAGTGAGGGAGTTTATCATAATTTTCAGCTAGTGAGAGAAATGAAACCATTCCATAAACTGTGTGGGACATGAATTGTATCTTACTTACTTACTCATAGAGTTGAGCCCTTCTGGAGGAGCTGCCAATTCTGCAGCTACTCAAGAATTTCCCAGTATTTTATGGAACCTGAAGGTTCATTACCGTGTTCACAAGAGCCCTCCACTGGTCCCTATCATGAGCCAGATAAATCCAATCAATACCATCCAATCCTATCTCTCTAAGATCCATTTTAATATTGTCCACCCACCTAAGCCTTGGTCTACCTAGTGGTCTCCTTCCTTCTGGCTTTCCCACCGATTACCTTATACGCATTCCTTGTCTCCCTCATTCGTGCTACATGCCCTGCCCACCTCATCCTCCTTGTCTTGATCATTCTAATTATACTTGGAGAAGAGTACAAGTTATGAAGCTCCTCAATATGCAGTTTTCATGAAGTGTATCAGACTCTTTGTAAGTTTCAAGTAATGATGCATGAACATGTCATGTACTGGTTTCATCACAAATATCACTTTTACAGGAGGGGGCACAACAACACTGGAGCCAGGTGGTTGTGATAAGAAGGAGAGGGCTGTCATATATGAACGACATGTGATGGGAACCATGGGTGGTGTCAATCGATCTTCTGCTTCATGCACCGTGTATGTACCAGCGAAGCAGCACTGTCCATGCATCTGCTCATGACAACTGAGCCACATTAAGTTCCTACACGTGTGTTATGTAGATTCTTATATTGCAGTGTTCTAGTCTAACTTGTTAGATCATGAGTTCATGAGTGCTCAAGGTTTATCTCCATGGATTTTGAAAATCATATGTATTGATACAATTGAATCAAGACTTTTTAGATAGGAAGGATATGTATCACTGTTGAGGAAAAGATGAAATATATGCATAACTTTGGAGTCTCAGAAGTAGGTGAAAATATAATATTAAAGTGGAGCTTAGGAACAAATTTTTCAAATGTTAATTAAAGTGAATATATTCAGGTAGGTCCCAGAGGAAGATTTTTAATTTTCACAACAAGTAACTACCAAGCAAGACCTGTAACATGCAGTTGGGTAGTTAATTAATGTAGTTCATTAGATATCTACTTAGCCATTTGTCATGTCATTTAACTTCACTGTACCATAATGCTAATGAAATTGTCACATGTTAGTACCTAGACATAAGGTTTGGATTGATAACTGGATTTGTTGCATCCTTGTAACTCATAACTACAAATGATTGTAACAGTCTCAATTATCTATACAGTCTATACATCACTACAACTACAGCACACACAAAGCCTTCTGTCTGTTATTCTTTTGTCAGTAGTTATTGCTAGGTAGTGGCCGCGAACAATGGAGATGCCTCACAGTTAACCACAAAGTGCCATTTGCTCAGTTTGAAATCGTAACTGAACTCAATTGTTGCTGCTGCTGATGGTTCTTTTCATATATCCTTGGCACGGAACACACAGAAATCACCGTTTCCAACAATTTCTATACTGTTGCATATTGATTCATTGCTGCAGAAATGTGTTTACTTTGCCGTGTCCTAGCAATGTTCCACTATTCCACGTTCATCTGTCATGTCACAATATGACAAAGGTTAAGCATATTAGAGAATATTATATTTTATTCCATTTTATTTCATTAGATATAGCAAAAGGAGGGTCGGTAGAGAGCGAGTTCCAGATATTAGGAATGAAAAATTTAGCACTGCTAAATCAGGAAGCAAGCCTTTCTTGAGCAATATCACCCAGTTCACATCCTCATAGTTATTTCCTTAAGATACATTTTATATATTATATGAACACATATCCTCCTGTTTAATTTCCCAAATTAAGATTTGTGTTGATTTATTCCTTTACTTATGCAGGCTACATCCCTACCCAGTTTTAGCCTTATTGACTATCCCTACCCTATTTTAGCCTCCCAGATTTAATCACAATAATAATGGAGAACAGTTCAAACACACATTATATTCATTTTCTCCATTGCACCAAGTTGCTCTCTGCGTGTTCTCTGTAAAGATTCCTGGCATGTTGCAGGTATTGCTCAATTTTAAATGTTGATATACAGTATACATGTTGTCCACAAAGTCTGTGAAATTTTAAGAATATTATCTTAAAAAAAAACATGTTCTACTTGACATTTTCATTTAGTTTCCAATCCGATGGTTTTTTGAGCTCATTATAACAAATATTTTACCTGTTTGCATTGTTAGAAACTGTTATATCGATAATATATTCCATCTTCTTGAACATTAATGTTATCATTGTTCTTGTTTGCTTGCTTATTTGTTCATATACATATTTCTTTGAATTTTTTATATACGAGGGTAAGTCAATAAGTAAGTTACAAATGGATATAGAACTTAAACAAATAAAGAGTACTGATTTGAAAAATGCTGTTATTTCTCAACATAATCTCCCTATACATTGAGGCACTTGTCCCATCGTTTCACAAGCCCCTGAAAACCAGCAGCATAAAATTTTTTGGCCTGCTGTTGGAACCAGGCGTGTTCACATGGCATGGCCTACTTCATAATGCATGATAAGTTAGGTTTTCACAAAGTCTGCGCATGATGGGTGCCACATATGCTGACCCCACAACACAAAATGCAAAGAATGGGTCTGGCATTACAGCATCTCAATTGCTACCATGATGAAGGACATGATATGCTAGCTCGAATTGTCACAGGTGATGAGTCTTGGGTTCACCATTGGTAACAGTGGTAACATCCTGCATCGCCTGCCAAAAGAAAAACGTTTAAGGTGACACCATTCTCCAGGAAAGTGATGCTGTAGAAAGCTGTAGAAAAGGAAGTCACCACCTGGTTCCGGCAGCAGCCTAAAGAATTTTATGCTGCTGGTTTTCAGGGGCTTGTGAAAAGATGGGACAAGTGCCTCAGTGTACAGGGACAATATGTTGAGAAATAAAAGCATTTTTCAAATAAGTACTCTTATTTGTTTAAGTTCTATATCCATTTGTAACTTACTTATTGACTTACCTAAATATTTTCAATAATTGGTGATTTGGATAGCAAATAGGATGATACTAATTTTTTAACTTCCTAATTTTATGGTTATGAAATGTGGTCTCTTGCTTCTAAGTAAGGATATAAATTACAAGAGTTTGAAAACAGAGTGTTCAGGAAAATATTGGAATCTGGCTGGTTGGTTTCTAACACTGTACTTTGAATCTAAGAGAGATAAATTAAGTGGGTAGTTTAGATACTACTGACTGACTGACTGACTGACTGACTGACCGAAAGAGACTCCTTAAGATTCTAATAAGATTCCCAGTTGGCCAAGAAATTTTCTCCTTTACACGGGGCCCAAAAATTAATTGCTGTGTGCACATCAGCCCAGTACTAATCTCTATCCTGAGTTAGATGAATCCAATTCACACCCTCCAATTCCATTTTTATGACCCATTTTAATGTTATTCTCCTGTCTCTTCCTAGGTTTTCAAAGCGGTTTCTTTCATTCAGGTTTTCCTACCGAAACTTCATATATACGTCTCTTACATGTGTGCTACATAACCAGCCAAACCCATCCACCTTGATTTGATTATTTTAATAATATTTGGCAAAGAGTGCAAATTATGAAGCTCCTCATTATGCAGTTTTCTCTAGAATCCTGTTACTTAATTGATCTTAGATTCAAATATTCTTCTCAGCACCCTGCTTTCAAGCACCCTCAGTCTATATTTATCCTTTAATATGAGAAGCCAACTTTCCAACCAGCCAAACCCATCCACCTTGATTTGATTATTTTAATAATATTTGGCAAAGAGTGCAAATTATGAAGCTCCTCATTATGCAGTTTTCTCTAGAATCCTGTTACTTAATTGATCTTAGATTCAAATATTCTTCTCAGCACCCTGCTTTCAAGCACCCTCAGTCTATATTTATCCTTTAATATGAGAAGCCAACTTTCCAACCCATACAAAACTGCAGGAAAAATTATAGTTTGGGATATTTAAAGCTTACTGTTTTTAGATGGGAGCATGTGGTAGCGTAGTCGGTTGAGGCACTATGCTACAAGCTGGAAGGTCACAGGTTCGATTCCTGATGAGGTCACTGGATTTTTTTAAATTTATCTGATCCTTCCAGCCACATTGTGGCCCTGGGGTCAACTCAACCTCTAACAGAAATGAATACCAGGAATCTTCCTGGGGGTAAAGGTCGGCTGGGATGTAAGACTGACAACCTTACTGCCATCTATGAGCTGATTATCTATAGAATGTGGGAACCTTGACATCTCACAACCCTATGGGCCTTCACAGCCTGTTACAGGGATTCTGCTTTTTCTTTTAATTCTCTTAGTGGGGGGGGGTGGAGTCCAACAGGGTCCACTTGGCACGGTGGCCACTGATTGGCCTATTGTAGCTTGTCCTGGGTGATTATGATGAAGGAGAATTTGGTGGAATGAAGATTGGCAGGGGAAACTGAAGTACTTGGAGAAAACCCGCCCCAGTGCCACTTTGTCCACCACAAATCCCACCTGACCACACCTTGGATTGAACCCAGGCCACTGCGGTGGGAAGCCAGTGACTAACCACTTGAGCTATGGCGAGGCCTTTGTTACAGGGATAGTTTTACCTTTCTTTACCTGTTGTTAGACAGCAGATGAGAAGGCAAAGATTTTAAACTAAATGGCAGCAAGAATTCTCTGAATGTTATCTGCTCTTAATTTCTTCATGAGATCAATGCTGATGCATTACTGTTGTTCCAGAATGTTCTAACTTTGCCAGATTTTCAAGGGATTTAATTAATTATCTTCAGGTATCTTGTGCACTACATTATGGTGACAAATCAAGATAAACTTAGTTTTCTCTGCAGTTATACATAGACCAATCTTCTTATTACTGTCTAATAGAACTTCTATGTAAGCTTATATTTAACTCATGATTATAAAATCTTCAGCACACACCTGAAGCAAGTGTGTCCCATTGAGGATACTGCATGTCTGGCAACTTTGTGGGCTAAGTATAAACTCTGGGTGGGAAAGATAATTTGGTGGCATAACCTCTTGGAGAGCAGATGCTTGGAAGAGTGAGTTGGAGCTGCAAGTATAAGTTTGAGATGGATCTTATTGGTGAAAGGAACTGACTTAGGATTATGTCATGTGACAGGTTTTAGTATTAATGATACTGAACCCATGAGTTCTATTGCCAGAAAGTGGTTGGTTATTTCTTTACTTTTCTCTTGCAGGACCAAGAAGAAACCAGGCTTGGCTTCTAGTCACAGAAAAGGATTCCGGCAGATAAAAGCAACAAAATGAGTTCTGTGGAAGAAATTATTTTTATTCCTGATATTACTCAGATCTCTGAGGAACTAGGCTTCTAACCTTGTTTTCAATCTTTCTTTTTAATATTTGTGACAATATTTGTTTTGAGGTGAACAGAGCAAGTATTGTATAAATATTAAGTATTTAAGTTTTTCATATTTCATTTGTTTGAACTGCAAACATACATTTCATTAAGTTATATGATATGAAGTGCTTACTTAATCCCTCTGCTTCATAACTGTATCTTCATAGAATTTATAGTTCAAAAATAAATATTCAGTTAAAATCTGTTGTAATGATACAAAAGAAACATGATATTTTTTGTTATAAGCATCCTCAAAACCCTTCAGCATAAGGATTTGTTCTTTATTGATTTATTCAATGACAGTGTGCCCACAATTGAAGTTATATATCATTGACTGAGAAATAACAAGCAAATAATGAAACTAAGGATGTAGGAGGAAGTGACTTGTTACTTTCCTAGCATTTGTTTTGATGAACTGAGGAAAATTGTGAAGAAATCTGTTAGAATATTAGCTCCATAGATTGTGTTTCAAACTGAGGACATTCCTCATTTGAATCAAGTATGCTGGTTATTATACAGATGCAGCAGTGTCATTTTTACTCAAAAATATAGGGGGACCATATTTGCATGTAATATCAGAAAGTCACCATGAAAGCTGACTCAAGAGATAAGGCTTCTGACTTGTATTCAGGAAGTTCTAGATTTAAATCTCACTTTGGGTACTGACTGCCCTGACTTAAAGTTCTTGTGGTTTTTATCAGTCCCTCCAAACAAATGTCAAGATAATGCCTTAAGTTTTATCATGAGCGTTTTCTTCCACACCCTTTTCACTTCGTTATTCAAAATCATCCAGTCAATCAATGCTGTATGGTCTTGGGTTATTGATAGCTTTGTTAAATAAGCTACTAATAAACAAATAAATAAAGCCAGAGTCAAGAAGGCTATTTATTTTCAAATAATTTATGTGAAGATTATTAACAGTTAAATTGACAGTCTTGACTTCGTTCTAATATAAATTTTATTTACATGAGCAAACAGTAAGTTCTGGGAAGGAGAAGTTATGATACCTGTTTCCTTCTGATGCATCAGTAATGTTGAGGATAGCAAGAATTATAAATTAGCAAGCCTCTTATACCTGTATAGCCATCCATTTCTGATTACAATTCACTGTAGTAAAAATTAAGGTCTTGCATGTCATACTGCAATATCAAAGTTTAATGCCATCATCATATTTTTAATTGTCAAAAACCTAAAGTTGCCTATTAAGATGTGTGAGAGAGTGAAGCTAACATTTGCTAGTAGATGCAGATGACTGGTCAACATTGTACTGTGCCTACATTTTACCCCCTTGGGGGAGAGGCTTCAGTACCCATTGGATAGGAAGTTGGATGGACACTAATGCTAGTTTAAACATAATGGGGAAGAGAAAGCATCCTGTCACTGCTAGATATTGAAACACATTTGGCTACCTAATGGTCAGAGAGCATAGTGACTGAACTTTCCTAGTTCATATTTGCAATTGTTAACACATAAAGAACAGTTCATATTGCATTTATAAGTATATTTATTGTCTATCTGCATACAAATTATCTCCAGTAGTTCATTAGCTATCACCATTAATCCAACACCTCTATATAAATTATGTTCAGCCACAATATTGTATTACATTCTACAAAAAAGAATCATGAGAAAAGTTGCACATTTTTCAAAGGTCTGTCACTACACAGTTTCACGTTCCCATACTATGGTGCCAGTAATAATGCTAGTACTATTCTACTCATAAGTTACCATGTTGGTATCACTGAGAGTAGGAAATTTAGAACACACAAATTGAGTGTGGTCCCCAGTGGCTGACATTTATATCAGGTTACATGAAAATCTATCAATTGGCTGAAAACCTAATTTGGGGAGGAGGGGGGTCAGAGTGTCAGGTATACGAAGGTGATAATGGGTACATGAGAACATCATAAAACTTGGAAATACATCCCTCCATGCTGGGTGAAATATATCAGGGCATGTCCCTCTGCACTAAGGCTGGTAAAATAAACTTTATATTGGAAATGTTACAATAAATCTAGTATTCTTTTAAATAGTAATCAAGATTTAATTTTGAGCAATATCTTTATAACTTAGTTCAACTACATTGCTATAATCTGAAAATTATAGAAGTAGTGGCTAAGGATTATTTTTAATTAGCAATTGTAGTGCGAACTACTGTATTCAGCCATCTTTCTTTCATATGGCTCCTCTGAATTCCAGGTTTAGGGATGCACATTTGATAGCATAATGATGTTGAGGATTATTAATGACAGTCCCTCTATGAAGATAAATGCAGTGAAACGCCTTTATAGAATTTTGCTGGAGACAAAGAATTTTGAAATGTGAGGAAAACAATCTCTATTAGTAAGATTTGAGGCTTTCTTCAATCTCTGTTAGATTTCTCTAGTATCTGAACACAAATGGTCAGCATTTCATCCTTCCACACCATCCTTCCCTCCTACCCCAAGTAGCTGAATATGCCATTAAATCTTATTCTCAGCAAGTTCTTTCCAATTAACATTTCCATAACCAGTTTTCATAAGATTGATTTTAATATTACTCTAACCTGTCTGTCTCAGTTTTCCATGATTCAGTTTATTATCCTATCTGCATTTTTTGTTTTATCCATCAGTCACTCATCAGAACATCTAAAAAATATATTTACTTTATGTAATCAAGATATGAGAAAAATTTGTTCTGCCTTATTTGTATGTATGAATGAATGTATAAGGGGTGGGCCTTCTCAGCCCTTGCACCGCGACCTACAGTGGTCTATTGATGGGAGTTTAATAGAAATGTTACCATAGATCGAGGTAAAATACAAACCCACCTATAGTTAGAATTACATGAAATGTACCAGCTGGGCTGCCAAGACTCAAGTTAGACAACTGGTAAAATTTTAAAATGTTGGCCACTCTATAAATATGTAATTAATACTTTCTTAGTGTTTATGAATGTGGTGAACACCAGGTTCAGAATCCATGTTAGACTGTCAGCCCTATCTGTTGGGCACAAGCTTCCTTACCACCCCATTAATGGGACAAACCAGAATCATATACGGATTACATTAGCAGGCATGAGAAATAAAGAGATTATAACTGGAAGCATTAGAAGAGAAATGGGTCCCTATAAATACTGTTATCCCTATGACTTACTCAGGTTTACTGTAATTTGTTGTCATGTTTCACCACTGGTTAGAACTACAGATTGAATATGACATTTATTTTTCTTGCTTTGCTAGTATTTCTCCTTTCTATATTAATAGTGCTACTACTGTCAGTCTGATATTTAAATTGTTTCAATTATTCTTGTGTTGCTGTATCATCATAAACTAATAGGGAAATAAATGTTATTAACTTCATTTCTGTGTAAAGTAATTTTGCTGAGGATTAAATGATTTCCCATTTATGTCATTTTGATATATCACCATTTTTAGGAACAAATCCCTGACTGCAACTACCTGTCTACAAGGATTTTGTCAGAATAAACTTCTTGATTAGTTAGACACAGTCAGATGATGTATATGATTAGATGTACAATTCCTAAATTATACATGCTACTTTTTAAACTCCCCAAAATTAAAAAAGAAAAAGAATCTGCTTTTATTTGTGAATTGCTTTTAAAGGCATCTGTTTTGTATGAAGTCGCCTTGTATTTATAAATATATTCTTCATAATAGCACAATTTATCTTAAGAATCCTTAAAACAAAGTTATACTTTCTGCTGCAAACTTGCACTAATGTGTAAAATTGTTGGATGCTTGGGCTCAGTAAGTCCATCATTCACCAGCTGGAATTCAAGCCGTGGTTAAGTAAAGCTAGTACGTATCTCTGATGTAAAGGAAGTTCACTCCACAAGTGTTTACTTGATATCAAAGATACATGTGCTGTCCATTTTATGCATGAACTTTACTTGTTCATTATTATTGCTGATCAGCGACTCTGTGTATACCTTGCCAGATATACAGTATGGCCCAGGAGGAATGTGCCAGACTTCGGGAGGGTGTTCCTTATGTTAAAGTATGCCGATATAACCCAAAACACCTATGTCCAAAGTTGAACGGTTATGGAGATAATGGCGAGAGAAGTGTGACACTTTGACAGGTGTTACACACTTGTTGATTACCAAATACATATTAAAACTGGCAGGAATATGTGGTTTCTGTAATGTTAATAATGTACGTAACATCAAACTAACTTGTGAGTGACATGAAGTCATTAAATTGGACTAAAAAAAAACTCGCATGCCATGTCATAGTTTTTGTTAGGGTTCCAAGCACTATACATGACACATGAATGGTAAGCACTGACGTAACATGGCTGACTGCACATTCTGGTATGCGACTGTATGCGGCTAGTGTGAGCTGTCATCACCACACTCAAGGACAAACATTGATAAGACTTGTCAGCTGATAGGTACAGTGCGTGGACCCGCCAGAAGGCCACACTTTTCTCGGGCCATTATCTCCATAATCGTTCAACTTTGGACATAGGTGTTTCGGGTTATATCGGCATACTTTAACACAAGGAACAGCCTCCGGAAGTCTGGCACATTCCTCCTGGGACACCTGGTATAGGTACATTTATAAAATTCTTTATTGGGATCTGTCAAAACATAACAATGAAACGGTCTAGGTCAATACCATTGTTGTGTTACGACAGATCCAAATAAAGAATTTTATGCAATAAACACAACAGGATGCGACCAATGAAAATTACAGGCATATTTCTTCCAATTCTCTGCTTAGCTCATACCTCACAAACGCTTCTACTTCATATAATCTGAAGGACTGTTGCTGTCTCTCCTTGAGCTGCTTGAGCCTTTTAAAAATATCTCTTATCAGATGCTTCTCTCCAGAAATTTCCATCATAACTTTGCAATAGCAGCATGATTTGAATTTATCCAAACACAGTGACAAACAACATAGCATTGTTAATTTTACAAGTTCTCTAGTTTCGAAATCATAGTGTAAAAGGCAAGACTGACCAGCTTATTCTACAGGCTGCAATTTAAATTATCGTTTTTGGAAAAATAGTTAAAAAGTATAGACCTACATGGTGCAAAATATGACACAATTTTCTATATGTTCAGAATTTCTTCTGAATGCTTACGACAGGCCTCCTATGGTATGAAGATTGGAGGACAGAGTGATTATTTGGATCATGTGAATGTAAATAGTCCTAGAGGTGGCAGTTTCACTCATTTACTGCATGAAAAGCAGCCTGGGAAGAACTGAAAGTAATTATGATCATATTCCTTTAAATGATCATATCAGTTTTGTAGCAAGGTTAGGGGTTTTTATACATCACAACCGATATCACCACTACAACATAGTACTGACATTTTTTTACTTCTGAATTAACTGAATCCATATCTTGTCCTCATACATTGTTTGGTTCAAGACCTCTTTTACGATTTTCATTTCCTCTGTTACAAGACATGTGAAGCAGATTCAGTTGCAGTGAGCAGTGAAGGATACTGCAAAAATTATTAAGGCACTGGATTTGAAAGAATAAATAAGAGATGAGCTAAACTGGCATTTACATTACAACTGTCAACAATCGGGCCTTAGTTTTACATTGGAATATTACTGACACTTTGTTGTTTATTAACAAGGATCTTTAGACCAGACAGACTAGTATAGTAATAATGTTCTCAGCTTGTATTTCGGAGGCACACTGTTCAAATCTCAAGCATGTATCTTGACAGGTTTTCACGGTTTCCCTGAGTTCCTTCAGACAAATGTCTGATAGTACCCCAACTAGTCCATGACCACTTCCTTCCAAATCGTTTCCAGTGCTACGTAGTCTAGATATTGACATTTCACGGAAATCAGTCATAGTAATTTAAAAGTTATTAATGAGGACACAAACAGAGGCATAATTATTTCCTAAGCCTGTATTTTCTTATGCAATTTAAAATGACAAAATCATACTAAAGTGAGCACTATCTTCTGGTAAAATTTAGTGAAATGGGAAGTTGTTTTTTTGTAAAGAAATCCATATTTGTCTCAGAACCATAACTGATTCGTATAACTACCCATGGCTCTTTCCTTAAAAACACATCCTCCTCAGCAGGAATGCAAACTTAAGTGTGCTACTGAACAGAACAAGCATGGCAAGTGATTCGACCTTCAGGATGAGGAATATAGTAGCCTATAAGCAGGTGTACTTGTACTATGTAATGATGAAGAAAACTTTCACACCTCTGGATATGTCAATAGACTGTGAATGATTTCAAATTGGTGGATAAGACAGACATTAGTTGGGCTCGAAGTCCGTGGGTTAATAATTTAACAGCGTGCCACTAACTGCAGACACTAGGCAGGTTCTCAATGCACTTCTTTAGAATTTAAACATGTTTAAACACAAGTTGTAACTTTCAATGGTGGAGTTTTGTTTGAATTTATTTGCTGCAAATCATTCTTAAGAATTTATTGAAATTCAAATTGTGCCAAGGGGAAGCATTTGGAAATTATAAGCGTGGATCTTTCCAATTTTACTGCTTAAAAATTTAATAACTTGAAAATAATTAATATTACGGTCATCTGAGATTTAACGGCATTAATTAAGGCACGCTGTATAGGTACCAAATTTTCGGAGAAATCTGGTGCATCTTTCTTCAAGGCAGAAGAACTTCAGTCCTGACCATGGAGGCACCTGGTTCTTCCGAAATGTAGGTACTTATTCAGGTCTGACGCAAGCCCACATGCCGCCCCAGGAGGCGAGATATTTCGCCGACCCCTCTCAGTTAGCCAGATCAACTTCCTCAAAATTTCTTCAGAATTGGTAACACGCAATATTCAGACACTAATTAAAAAGTCACTGGTGTCGTAATTCTTAAGATAACCTTTTTTTTATTGCCAGTGGGGTGGACTAAGTCCCTTGTACTGCGGTCACTTCTGGCCTATTATACCAGACCCAGATGATAGGTGAGGGTGATTGTGGAGCAATTGGTGGAATCAAGATTGGCATGGGAAACCGAAGTACTCGGAGAAAACCTGCTCCAGCGCCACTTTGTCCACAAAGATAACCTTACTTAGATTGTTTTGCAATACTGTAACTCATTTAGTGACTATAGACATTGGGTTTGGATTGATAATACTCGTAGGGTTTATTGGGCTCTTGAAACCCATGCTTTCAAGTAGCTACAGCTCTGTCGTTAACTCACACAATCTACAATTCACTACAAAAACTTCGTGGTTTTAGTCCGCAAGCGAACTATACCGACCGAGCGACCACCGATTGTCGGCGAAGTTAGTGCCAACTTTAGCGGATAGAGGGTGTCGCTTGGTCAGGGCAACGAATCCCCACGGCCGTTAATCTCGGTTTTCTAGACCGGAGGCATTATTTCCTTGAAATAGCTCCTCAATTATCCTCACAAGGCTGAGAGGCCCCCGTTTCAGAACCACTACATCTCAGAAAATCTGGTAGCTCCAGGAATCCAACCCGGGACATTTGGATCTGTAGCCAGGAACTCTGACCACTGGATCACAGGAGCGATCTAAGACTACATGTATAGTGACGATATTATGAGAAAGTTGCTAAAATTAAAGGAAAAGTTGTCCATGTGCTTAATTAATTATGAACCACGCCATGAAGACTTATAGGGGAACAGAGGTATAGCTACACTGTTCTTGGCCTCGACACTAGATGGACGTGAGTGGTCAGTTTCACGCCTCAAGCTCTTTCACCCCGGGGAAAGCCATTGGACAGGAGGCCGCTTGGGCCCCATGCTGGTCTGGACTCTCTGGAGAAGGGAAAATCTCTTGCCTCTACCAGGAATCAAACTCCTTCCGTTCAGGCCCGTCGTTACAGCCAGTGATCTATCGCGGATGAGAGAGTTGGTTGCTTAGTCAGTTATAATTTATCACCAAATGATACGAGCTTTCATGAACACACTACCTACCTACCTACCTACCTACCTACCCACCTACATATCTATGGCTCTACATTCTTCTTGTTGGACCTTGGCCGTTTCATCAGTTTCTTAATCCTATACACAGTCGGTAGGACTCCTTTGACGGAGATCAGCCCGTCGCAAGGCCGCTGCCTACACACAGAACAACACAACTACAAAATAAACGCACATAGACACCCATGCCTTGAGTGGGATTCGAACCCACGATCCCAGCGTTCGTGCGAACGAAGACAGTTTCATGCCTTAGATAGCGGCCACTGTGGTCGGCGCATGGACATACAGTGCAGCTAACGATTACGTAACAAGTTTGCTACGGCTGTTAACACGTCATTTTAATGAATAGTTTAATAAAAGTTGTGTTTATTTATGAGATGGAAATAGTCTACACTCAGTGACGCATGAGAACAAATTTTTATTCCTGTGCGAGAACACGTGATGCGGTATTAAACTGCTGTGAAGTACGACCTATGCGAAAGTGAAGGCAATACTGATTTACAAAAGAAGGGACATAACGCATATTTGCTAGTTCAAGAAAGAATTCTAACACCTTGAATTTATTACTTATTGCTGCTGCAGTACCGGCAGAAACTTGGCAGTTCTACACATACACTCCGCAGGTTCAGCTTACACATTGTTATGTGGTTGGAAAAGGTAATTCCATATGTTGATCTTATTCTGCTAGATAACTAATTTACTAACTAATTAATCAACCAAACAGCTATTGACGATTCAATCGACAAATGAACTAACTACCTAACAAACTATTTTCACAAGGCAAACGGTATTTTCTGAAAAGAAAAAAACAACTGATAGTTACTCAGCTGGGTATTCATGAAATGTGTACTAAAATTCTGCACAGAATTTGTAACTCGTCGTGCTCCATGGATATAACTACGTAAGTACTAAAGGAAACTCCGTGGCTTGTAGCCCTAAAGCGAACTATATCGACCGAGCGACCGCCTATTGTCAGCGAAGTTAGTGTCAACTTTACCGGATAGAGGGTGTCGCGTGGTCAGCGCAACGAATCCCCACGGCCGTTAATCTCGGTTTTCCAGACCGGAGTCACTACTTCAATCCTCAAGAGGCTGAGTGGACCCCGTTTCAGACCGTTTTGATACCGAGAGTCCATTCCCGTGAAATCAAAATCTCGCCACTGAACTCACCTCTCAACCAATCAATTCAGTTCATACATTCACATTCCTTATATTGAAGATCCGTTTTAATGTGTCCTTCCAACTCTTCCTACGATTTTTAAGTTTTCTCCCCTGAGGTCCTCTACTCGTTTTCATATATTGTTTCATTCATGCGTGCTGTATGTGGAACCAATGACACACTTTTTAATTTATGCATCCTTAAATACTAGACAGCCGGTCACGGTAGCCGAGCGGTCTAAGGCATGTACTGTCTTCGCTCGCTTGGAAACCGGGATCGTGGGTTCGAATCTCACTCAGGGCATGGATGTTTAGTTTGTGTGTGTGTGTTTTTCTGTGTTTGTGTACAGGTAGAGGCCTTGCGACGAGCTGATCACCCGCCCAAGGAGTCCTACCAAAAGTGTAAGATCTAGAAAAACCGAGGTGAACGGAGAAGCTCATGGAGGTAGGTCTAGCCCACTGGGGCTGTAGCGCCAAGNATGTGTAAGATCTAGAAAAACCGAAGTGAACGGAGAAGCTCATGGAGGTAGGCCTAGGCCCACTGGGGCTGTAGCGCCAAGGAAAAAAAAATACTAGACAACCTCTAGAGTCTAGAAATTATGAAACTTCTCGTTATGCAATACATCATTAATTCTTCTAAAATTGGGAAATAAAAATAAATAAAATTTAATAATTCTCTCCGGTTACTGGGACACGCGATAGTGTAGTTGGCTGAGGCACCGTACTACAAGCTGGAAGGTCATGGGTTTGATTCCCAATGAGATCAATGAATTTTTTAATTGACCTATTCATTCCAGCCGCACTATGGCCCTAGGGTCGACTCAGAAATGAGTACCAGGAATCTTCCTGGGGGGAAAAGGGCGGTAGTCGCTTAAGGCTGACAACCTCACCGGCAACTGTGAGCCGATTATCTAGAAAATGTGGGAGCTTCGACGATTCATGACCCTATGAGCCTCCACGGCCTAGTAAACGAATAGCTTCCTCTTGTTCTATCCAATTATCATGGTATACTCATTTTAAACAAAAGTTTAACAAAATTGTTTACTACATGTAGTTTAGTCCTAATCCAATGTGCTACTGTGTGTCCGAATGTACTGCTGACAACATGATCGATATTCAGCGCCGTTTCTAAGAAGGAAAATACAATCTCGTTTTTAAAACGAGATTATACCTGAAAATAGCTTTATTTATGTGGCCATTAATGCACTCAACCTCTCTCTCATCCCTTGCAGAACTAAGCATTATACTCAGAGCTTCGGAAACAAGTGTGAAGTAAACAAAATCTTTGCACAATGGCGGAAGAAAGAAACTCTGGAGAAGTAATCTTGGTTACTGGTAAGTCACTTTGAATGATTCGTTCACACGCCAATTAACGAACCTGCTTCAATTTCATGGCCATATTGGTCGAAATACACTCGTCCAAGGAGTCCTACCGCCTGTGTAAAAAAAGATTACGAAACTGAATAAGAGACCAGGGCCCAACAAAGGGCCGTAGAATCATTGATGAAAGAAAAGCCAATTAAATAGGTCGCAATAAGAGGAAATGATTATTAAAACAAGGGCTTGGAAGGAGGCTGTTGTGCCTAATGCATAAAGATGTATGCTTGACTGATCTTATGCAATTTATGGACATTGCTTCAAATTCAGGTGTTATGTAGCGTCGACTGACATGGCGAGATGGTCATAAATATTGAGTAGAGATAGGTACTCGTATATGTATGCATGGTTTATGTAACGACGTTTTCCGTACCTCAGACTACATACTGTTGAAGCTTAGACTGACAGTGAATAAAAAGTAGGAAAGGATTTTTTTTTCTTTCGTACTACAGCCCCACTGGGCCTATGCCTACCTCCATGAACTCCGTTCATTTCGGTTTTTCTCGATCTTACACATTCGGTAGGACTCCTTGGGTGAGTGATCAGCTCGTCACAAGGCCTCTACCTGTAGACAAACACAGAAAAACGCACACAAACATCCATGTCCTCAGTGGGATTCGAACCCACGATCCCGGCTTCCGAGCGAGCGAAGACAGTGCATGCCTTAGACCGCTCGGCTACCGTAGCCGGCAGGAAAGGATTAGGAAGAGACATAATTTGAGATATTAACCCAGTAGCTGCTTTGAGGGACTGAGGAGACATACGAAAACCTCAACCAAATATCAGGTGACCAGCCCAAGATACGAACGGGTCACCTACCCGAATACAAGTCAGCTAGAATGCCTCTTGAGCAAACTTTCTCAATATGACTGATAGATTTTAAGTTATTTAAAGCCTTCGTTTCATCTGAAGAAGTAATGCTGTACTGAATGCGGTGGAAAAACTACTGCGACTGGTCTGGAGGCAAGGGTTTTGAAGTAGATGGCCTTCGTCTATTTTCAGGTCCTATCCCAGAGGGCTGGCTTCGTGATAATGACAATTTGGACACACACGGAACATACCATTTTCTTCGCAGTCATCCCTGTTTCTATCTTTGCACTGTCTGTTCCTTTGTACATAGTAGTTTTTACCAAAATGTTTCTCCTGATGTGGGTTTCACAGAATAATATAAAAGTAACAAACAAATTTTGATACAAACTTGGCTTCTCAGGCTCCTAGTAGCAATACAGAATTAGAAATTAATTAAGATTTTTGTATTTTAGCGTCCTGTTGCACTGATTCATATTCATGTGTATATTAACAGTCTTCAAGTGAACACAATCCCATCTAGCACTTCTACACCACATATTTCGGCAGTATGCTGCCATCTTCAGGTGCACCGATCCGATAACCCTTTCATTGCTGCCTTTATATGTCCATTTACAAATTTAATATTGAAGAAAGCAGTCTTCTGAGACTTGGCACCGTGTATATGTGGTGTTAACCGACGTTTCGGAGGAACGTATCGCCTACATCTTCAGGGTAGGAGGAAAAATATAAGAAATCCGCAAGCGACGAGACCGTGAGTCTGCTTTTACAGGTTCTCACGGTCTCTTCGCTTGCAGACTTCTTATATTTTTTCTTCTACCCTGAAGATGGAGGCGATACGTTTCTCCGAAACGTCAGTTAACACCACATATACACGGTGCCAAATCCCAGAAGACTGCTTTCTTCATAGTCACCGCCGTGAAAACCTCAAATCTTATAAATTTAATATTATTTGTAAACGGACATATAAGGGCAAGCAGTGAGATGGTGAACGGATCGATACACCTGAAGATGGCAGCATACAGCCGAAACATGTAGTGTAGAATCGGTAGATGGGATTGTATGCACTTGTAGACTGTTAATACGTGTATATACATTATGAATAATTAAGATTTATTGTACTAAATGTTCGCGATATCGAGGAATATTTAAATTAAAAGTTAAACCTCGGTGAAGTCTGTATTTTACGTCACGTAGCGTACACTTCTTAACGATAAGCAGTTCTTTTATTTTTTTCAGAAAATGTTAAGAATCTGTCTCGGTGTCATGCAACTTAACGCTTTAATTCCGAATTTCAAAAATCGTCAAAAATACGTTTATATGCATTTGTGGGACATATAGGCCCTAACAGATTAGAAATTGTTTAAGTATAGGGTCTCTTAAATCAATTCTAACCATATTAAAATCACGCTACAATTTTTTTATGCAAACTATCATAGCCAGAATTCATTGAGATCAGTCCAAAAGTTTTTCTGATGAACTGTGAAAAAGAAGAGACGGAAGTACATAAGCATGGACACGACCTCCACTTATGCGTTCATTTTATGTAATTTGTGAAGATAACTTATAAGAAAGTGATTGAATTGAGTGAGGTCAATCCAGAAGTTTTTCTGATGAAATCTGAAAAAGAACAGACGGACGTACATAAGCATGGACACGATCTCCACTTGTACGTTCATTTTATGTACTTTGTAAAAATAACTTATAGGAAACATTGTCATTATGAAAGTTATGTATTGTACATCTTCATTCAGGTGGGAGCGGGTTTCTTGGACAACACATTGTGAAGCTGCTGCAAGAGAGGGATCCGAAAGTGCGAGAGATTCGAATTCTGGACTTAAAGCCGTATGTTAACCATCTCGGTAAGTAAGTCCCTTTGTTGTAAGATTTGAGGCTTTCACGGCGGTGACTATGAAGAAAGCAGTCTTCTGGGATTTGGCACCGTGTACATGTGGTGTTAACCCACCACATATACACGGTGCCAAATCCCAGAAGACTGCTTTCTTCAAAGTCTCTTTGTTGAGTTTAATCTGGACGGGACAGACGATAAACGCGTAGAAACTTTTGTATGATAAATTTTGGCGTGTAGATGGGAGGATGGCCTTAAGGTGTTTATTTGATTAAACTGTCTTAGGGTGGAGCCATATGACGAGGTTGTGTAAGCAAGGTAATGAACCTTAAAAAGCAGGATTTTTATGTCAGTGATTTTAGCTATGAATTTTTCAAGAAGAGAGGCCATGCAAGATGGTAAAAATGAGAACTGGTTTTGATTACTGCGTGATTTAAGGCAAAAAAAAAATCTTAGGCGGCACTTTCTACACACTGATACCGCGCGTTCAATTCCCAGCAGGAGGATGATGATCGCTTGCATTCTTCTATTCTTCCTGCTAGAAACCTTTACGATCACAAACGACAGAACTCGAATTGAGCTGCAGTCAAAATTAGAAACATAAACTTAGTTATTTTTCAATGGGCCGCGCCATAGCTGAGGCGGTTAGTGGCTGGCTTCCCACCGCGGCAGTCCGGGTTCGAGCCCGGCTCTGTTCAAGTGGGATTTGTGGTGGACAAAATGGCGCTAGGGCAGGTTTTCTCCCAGTACTTCGGTTTACCCTGCCAATCTTCATTCCACCAATTGCTCCACAATCACCCTCACCTATCATCTGGGGCTGGTACAATAGGCCAGAAGTGGGCGCAGTACAAGGGACTTAGTCCCACCCCACCAGCAATTGTTATTTTCATCTTAGATTATACACCAAAGAGTTTGCACAAAACAACGATGTTGCCATTTTCCCATGCCTGGAAAATGTGGTCTTTTAATATGAGGAAGAGACAAATGTTTGTAAACAAAGTATCCGTGAGAATATATGGACAGAAGGGGGACAAAAGGGCAGTTTAGGTTAGAACTGAGCAAGGCACTTGGTGACTTACCGTATTTACGCATGTATAGGCCGCACATTTTTTGCCAAAAATTCAAGAGGAAAACTGGGGTGCGGCTTATATTCGAAATATTCGAAATCACACTTCATTTAAACAAAAATATTCATAATTAGTAATACAGGGTGTTCTACTCCTGAAGTAATATTCCAAGAAAATTATTTTTTCTATAATTTCTGTCTGAAAATTGTGCTGCGGCCTATACACGCACGCGGCCTATACATGCGTAAATACGGTATATAAAACTAATACATTGCTTGGACAGTGATATCGCGGATAATATGATAGGCTGAACATGAAGCTGGGATGGAAGAGAAAAACAATGCACAGAGAATTTTGGTGGAGAAAACTCTTAGAAAGCAGTCACTTGGGCGATCAAGAAGGAGATGGGAGATGAGGTAGAGAGGGTGTGAGCTGAATGAAACTGATTCAGAAACGTATACTCTTTGGCACTAGGAATGGTTAACACCGGGTTTGACCTGCCACTTACAAACGACACCTTTGGCCACTCTGTAACAGGCCGTGGAGATCCACTGAGTTATAAGGCGTCGAGGTTCCCACATTTTCTAGACAATGGGCTGACAGATGGCGGTGAGGCTGTCAGCCTTATGCGCCGGCCTTCCTTTACCCTCAGGAAGATTCCTGGTACTCATTTCTGTTAGAGGCTGAGTCGACCCCTGGGCCACGCGGTAGAGTAGTTGGTTGAGGCACTATGCTACAACCCGGAAGGTCACGGGTTCGATTCTTGATGAGGTCAAGAGATTTCTTCAATTGACCTAATACTTCCAGTCGCACTATGGCCCTGGGGTCGACTCAGCCTCAAACAGAAATGAGTACCAGGAATCTTCTTGGGGGTAAAAGGCTGAAGACACTTAAGGTTGATAACCTCACCGCAATCTGTGAGCCGATTGTCTAGAAAATGTGGTAATCTCGACGTCTCACAGCCTTATGGGCCTCCACGGCCTGTTACAGGGATAGTTTTATCTTGCGTTTTACGTTTGGTCACCACACCTTCACCAGTTAATAGTGTACTACTTGGTGCTGAAAATTGAACATGTCCCCAGGTCATGAAGAAAATAAACCCATGAAGGCAATTGAGGGCGACATCGTCCACAAGGAAGGCTCGAGGGAGGCGTTCCGAGGGGTGGATTGCGTGATACACTGCGCCGCCCTGGTCAGCTACCGCTTTCCGCCCGATCACGAGGCGCTGGACCGTATCAACGTCACAGGTCTGATCCTTATTCAGTACGGCCTGATTACAACATTGCCTCTGGATCTGCTGGCGTGTTATAGTGACAGAAACAGCGAGTATTGCTGGTGGCGTTAAGCTGCTTACTGACCGCGAAGCGTTGCGCAATGAGAGGTGGACAAGGAAGTTCTGTCATAACGTCATAGCGTTCCTATTGAAATATTTGAACTTATTTATATATGTAAATTTGTTCGTATGCTCCATTAAGCACCAGGACATGAAGACATGTGAAGGAGTGAAGGTACATTTGGACGTATTCTTAACCTGGGCAGCAGATGATGGTGAGCGTTTGGATTTACGTTCCGGCTTCTTTACCCCCTGGGAAAGAGTCCCCGATGACAATTAGATATGAGACTGGGGGTACCGGGGCACGCGGTAGCGTAGTTGGTTGAGGCACTCTACTGCAAGCCGGAAGGTGGCGGGTTAGTTTCTTGATTAGGTCATTCGATTTTTTCTATATACCTAATCCTTCCAGCCGCACTATGGTCCTGGGGTCGACTCAGCCTCTAACAGTAATGAGCACCAGGAATCTACCTGAGGGTAAAGGGCGCCCTGCGCGTAAGGCTGACAAGCTCACTGCCATCTGTGAGCCGATTGTCTAGAAAATGTGGGAGCCTCGACGTCTCAGAATCCTATGGGTCTCCATGGACGGGTTACAGGGGTAACTCTGCCCTTTTTACCTGGGTAGGTACCAGAACTTGTTTCGACTCTGTGGAGAAAAATCCCTTCGCCCTGCAGACATTCAAACCCAATTCAATTGTTCCATCCTTAGCCTACGCTGTACCAGGTCACTTAATCCGACTCTAATTTATGTCTGTATTTTCAGAAACAAATTCAAGCATTGCGGTTGTCTGTTAAAAGCTATGAATTCATTATTAATAAATTTCATGCTACAGCCTTACGCGCCGGCCGTCCTTTACCCCCTAGGAATATTCCTAGTACTCATTTCTGTTAGAGGCTGAGTAGACCCCAGGGCCATAGTGCGGCTGGAAGGATTTGCAAATTGAAAAATCCAATGACATCATCGGGAATCGAACCGCAGCCTTCCAGCTTATAGCATAGTGCCTCAACCAAATACACTACCGCGTGCCCCAAGGAAGAAGTTACAGTTATTTTAAACGTTGGTTCTTTGGAAAGCTCCCTGATATTTTAAATAAGCCATGAAATACCTCTTCCACATTCTTTACGACATACGTATTATCCGCTGTTATGTTCTGCAGTTGAAAAGGCATTTTAAAATAAATTAAGAATGGAGCTCAGTCAGTATAGTAAATGATTTAGAGGCGATCGGGGTTTGATTGCCTTTAAGGTTAGACGTATCTATTTGCCCACCACGTACTGAGCATCCCTAGGGCCCACCGACGTCTTATGCAATTAGCACGAGGGGATCTTGTCCCTGGAAATAAACTGGCCGGAGCTTGACCCTAACCATTCACCTGCGTCTGACCCTGAAATTAAGAACATGTGGAGCTTTACCTCGTCTACTTACGTTTTGACGACCTGATATTTATGCGCAGAGTCAACTGTAATAGGAAATATATAACGAGCTTTTAACGCCTTTCACACAACAAAAGAGACAAATGTCCTGTTATTCTGAAACCGACATTGCTTTACCAAACATTTTCTACGTGTGACATTGTTAGAGAGTGACCGCCTCTGTGGTCTAGTGGTCAGAGTTCCTGGCTACAGATCCAGAGGTCCGGGTTCGATTCCCGGCGCTACCAGATTTTCTGAGAAGTAGTGGGTTTGGAACGGCGTCCACTCAGCCTCGTGAGGATAATTGAGGAGCTATTTCAAGGAAATAGCGGCTCCGGTCTAGAAAAACGAAATTAACGGCTGTGGGGATTCGCTGCGCTGACCACGCGACACACTGTATCCGCTAAAATTGGTGCTAAATTCACCGACAAGTGGCGGTCGCGCCGGCGGTATGGTTGACTTACGGACTAGAACCATGGAGTTTGTTTGTGTTGTTTGACATTATCAGAGAATGGAATCTTGACGTGCCGTTTCTTGGCATCTTAACCTAACCATCTGCCGCATCGCACGGACTTAATTTAGAGTGTAAATTCGAGACTATATAATGTCTTGTTGCTGTAGATCTCAGCGTGGAACGAGTTAACGTGGAAAACAGCTGTGTATGCGCCTGTTGCAGGTACTCAGAACGTGGTGTCACTGTGCGTGGAGATGGGGATACCCCGATTAGTGTTCTGCAGCACATCTGAGGTCACATTGACCCCGTACCTGGGCGGCATATACACGCTCATCTTCAACCAAACAGAGTGCAAAGCTCTCCCCCCGAGCTGCGACTATGAACGGCAGCTACTCCTGCCCGGTTATCCGGCTTCCAAGCTCCGCGCAGAGAAGCTCGTCTTGGCCGCCAACGGCAGACCGCTCGCCNGTCTTTCCTTCAGGAGATGTCCAAGTAAATGTATGAATGTTACGATGTGGGAACATGTACTTTTAACAGATTTCTGGATGTGGCAAAGTTCACTACTCTGACTCCATTATTATTATTATTATTACTATTATTGCCGGGATAGCTTAGTCGGTATGGCGACTGGTTACTGGCTGGACGACTGAGGGGTCGGAGTTTTAGTCCTGATAGGGTCAAGAATATTCTCTTCTCCACCTCGTCCAAACCGGCTTTGCGGCCCACCCAGTCTCCTATCCAATGGGTACCGGGGGCTCTTTCCCCGACGGTAGAGCGGCCCGGGCGTGAAGCTGACCATTCACCTCCAACTAGTACTGAGGTCAAGAAAATGTGGAACTATATNCCTCCTGTAAATAGTAAGTTCTAGAAGAAGAATTCCCCGAAATTCTTCCAACAATTTTTAAAAAAAGTGTACTCTCTTATGGGGGGGCTATAACGTCATATGCCGGTTAAAGTATATGTCTGCTTCATGCTGGTTTCTTGCTTGGCTTTCTCTTCGACCCTGAAGATGTAGGCGATACGCTCCTCCGAAATTTTGGGCCGCTTTCACCGGACTACAACGCGTTATATTCCACTAGACATAACTTTTCGTTGACATCTCTCTGAGAATCCCTCCGTCTTAGTGCCGAGGTCAGTAACGGTGGAGCTATACCTCTACTCCCCCATATGTCTTCATGACATACTGCTTAACTAATTAAGCAATGGGTCAGCTTTAATTTTATATTAAACAACCACAGTACTGATTTTGGACTTGTGAGTTAAGACACAGTGTAGTTTCGGAGGAACCTGTTGCCTGCATCCTGAGGGCAGAAGTTGTAATGTTAGCACAGACCCCTCATTAAAACTAGGAGACTTCCATGTAAGTAAAGTAAACAGTTCTGAGGCTCGTCTTTCAGGTCGCGGGCGACTTCACACAGTGGCCCTGCGCCCCACGTTGCTGTACGGGGAGCAGGACCCTCGTCTGCTGCCCAGTTTGATCCAACTCTCCGAGAAAATGGAAGGAACCTTAATGAGATTTGCAGGACCTGGGGGCAGACAGCAGATCACTTATGTGGGTAAGTTAATTAGCTCGGTTTATTCCGACATTCTGGGAGTAAAGAGAGCCGAAGAGGCAGTAACTTTATTTACATTGACTCAACACTGATCCTCCTGGTTCCTTAGGGCATGTGACGCAATTGTAATCTTGTCCAAGGTCGTTTCACATGGTAAAGAATCACAGCATTCTCGAAGTGTTTCTGATTATACGCTCTGACTTCATTGGCAAGGGTCTCTTGCGCAGGGCGAGAGATCAAATCTACAAGGACAGTAAATATGACAAGATCGGAGCATTTGGTGGAAGTTATGTTAATAAACATAACGCTAAGACAGCTTATACTGAAGTTGCTGTACACCTTACAGAAGACAGACCAGATAGATCAGAAGATGTCAATATGGCAAGGTAAAATTATCCCTTTGCTTAACTAATTAAGCACTACGTCATGAAGACGTATGGGGGCGTGGCTGTATAGACCCACATTTTCTTGACCTCGGCACTAGTTGGAGGTGAGTGCTCAGTTTCACGCCCCGACCGTTTTATCCCTGGTGAAAGAGCCTCCGGTACCCATTAGATAGGAGGTTGGGTGGTCCTCAGAGTCGGTCTAAACGATATGGAGAAGCGAAAATTCTTGCCCCCCACCGGGACTCAAACCCCGACCACTTGGTCGTCCAGCCCGTAGCCAGTCGCTATAGTGACTGCCCTATCCCGCCTCTGACAATACAGTATGGAAAGTATAAAGAGCTGGAACATGAAACAGGTTAATTTGTATGTGAGAATGCCAGAGGACTTGGCTTTAAAGAATCCGGACCAGATAGGGAATTAGAGCGAAGGAAAGTTAACACTGCAGAGCCAAGGAAACGGAGAAAATGTTGAAAGGCACTGAAGTACGTGTATACAATGATCTATACCGGAGTGGATCGATGGAAGACGGCAGGCGCCGAAATAGAGATAGGCTCTTTAAGTGATGAAAATTGTAAGGGGAAACTGTACTGGAAATGGAAAGAAGCCATGTCACTAAAAGAGGTATATATTATCCTCCAACGTAGAAAAGGCGAGGCAAGTGATGGGTAACAATGATCGACCTTGGCGATTTTACTGTGCCTGTAGGGCACATAGAGCTTCAGTGTACCAATGGCAGCGGTAAAGCTCTTCCCAAAATTAAGCCAAAGTTTTTCAAATTCTCGTGGGAGGACCTTAGTAACTACCACGTCTTGTCCTCGTTACAGAACCGTATGTATCAAAATAAAGGAAGAGGATGCAGCTGCAGTGAAAGAAGAACTGCAAAAGAAAAATTATTTACAAAAAATAGAAATTGGAGGAGACGTGACTGCAAGACCAGAGGATGATAATGTCCATAGGTTGAACACTATCGGCACAGACTCTCAAGATTGGATCCTATCCAGCACCAATTCCGTATCTTTCACACTTCCACAATCTGTTCTCAATTTCCCCTTTATGCTTAGGTCTCCAAGTGATCTCTTTCTTTTAAGTATCTTAATTTAAACTAGGGACCGCCTGTGTGGTCTAGTGGTCTGAGTTCTTGTTTACAGATCCCGGGTTCGATACCAGATTTTCTGAGAAGTAGTGGGTCTGGAAAGGGGTCCACTCAGCCTCGTGAGGATAATTGAGGAGCTACCCGAATGGAAAAGTAGCGGCTCCGGTCTAGAAAACCGAGATTAACGGCCGTGGGGATTCGTTGCGCTGACCACGCGACACCCTCTACCCGCTAAAATTGGCACTAACTTCGCCGGCAAGCGGCAATCGCTCGGTCGGTATAGTTCGCTTGCGGACTACAGCCACGGAGTTTAGTTTTTAAATTTAAATTAGGAACATATCTATTTTTCTCTCAAACACGCTACAATTTGTGATTCTATGTAATTATATTTAAATTATGCTGGATTTTAACCCCTTTCTCTTATTTACTTGACAACAAATGTAGGTAATGCAGCCTGGGCCCATCTGCTTGCAAAGGATCAGCTGTTGGTTACGCGTCCTGGTGGAGGCGTCTCCGGCCTGCCGATCTTCATAACGGACGACACACCGGCGGACGATCTCTTGTTCTTCGCTCAGAGGGTCACAGCACGAGCTAATTTGCCGCCGCGCTGTCGCATTTCTCGTTGGTACATGCCGGCGCTCCTGGCTTATCTGATAGCCGCACTTCTGGAGATGGTAGTCCTGATAGCACACATCCCTCTGTCAGTCTCACCTCGGGGCGCCGTTTCTTATCTGGGCTCAATAGTACTTTACAACAGGCTCAGGGCTTCCCTGCATCTTAATTATTCGCCGATATTCCCGCCGGACGAGTCCTGCAATAGGGCAAATAAGTACTATACTAGGGAGGAACTCTGACAAAGCCAGTCCGAATAATAAAGTCCTTTGGTTACGTAACCTCAGCAAAAATGTAATTCATTCATTCATCAGTAATCTGTCAAGACGACAGGTCCACAGTCTCTTCCAAAACAGTTCCTCCCCTTGATGCGATCTAGAGCTTTCTCCTTCAAATGAAAATATCCTCTTCTGTCCCCAAGGTCATCCAGCATCTTCTTACGTCTTCTTCCTCGTCTTCTGGTCACTTCTATCCGCCCCTCTATCTTTCCTTCAATAACTTCTTTTAGAAGGCAGTTACCGTGTAAGATATGACCAATCCAATTAGCCTTCCGTTTTCTTATTTCATGTAGGATATTCCTCTGCTCACTGACTCTAATTAACACTTCTTCATTTCTCACATAATCGGTCCAACTGATCTTCTCCATTCTTCTCCAACACCACATTTCGAAGCTTTCCAGATGTTTCTGATCTACTGCCCGAAGTATGTAATATACTCGTATATCGGTTATCATGGTGAAAGTAGCCTCAGATGGTATTGTAATAATCCTGTTCTTCATGGCGTAATTTTTGCCGGAATGGCTACTAAATAACGACACAGCGTGGTTGAGATGTCATGGATTCTGACGAATTAAAATTATATTAAATTTGTGACCATAATGACAGGAAACATCAGAGAGTTATGTAACTATCAGAAGGTTTTCTGGTAATAAAATCATTTCAAGTTACCAGCTGCGTCAATTTGAATTGACGCCCCTTTCACTCGAGACATTTATTTTTAAGTTGCCGGGGAATTATCAGATCATTATAAAATTTTCTATTATTATAAAGCCCTACAAGGCATCACATCTTCGAAAACGGTTATTATCGAGCTCCATTCTAAACAAATTCCATCCAGTTCTACCTAATTCCATGGATCAAAAAAATTCTTCATAACTGATAGTCGTTCAGCTGGTCAAATGTTGCCTTCCCTTTGCGGAATTTCTTTGCGAGTGCAAACTTTATTCGTTACTATCTATAGTTTATCTTGGCCACATTTTCGAAAAGATCTTGTAATTCCTTCCTTTCATCTTCACATATTAGGCTATGGAATCTGTTACGTCTGCAAGCGATCTCTCGATCACCACCTTGGTTGTCCAAAACATTTTCTTCCATGCAGATGGTTGTCAGTAATTAATTTCGTAATTCTGGTCTCCTGTATGCTCATTTCATTATTATTTCTGGTCTCCCGCCATTTCATTACAAATTTAAAGTTTTACTTGGAATCTAATACATTCATTTCTATTCTTCATATAAAGTTCGAATCCGCTCGCTGCTCTCACAACAATTCATTTTTGCTGTCTGAAATGTTCTTCTATGATCTCCCTTAGCCTCCAGATATGTTGTGAGGACTACTGTTTCATAAAATGTATTTTGTGTTACTTTCCTACATTTGTTCTTTGTGTATTCCATAAATGCCGGTCACGGTAGCCGAGCGGTCTGAGGCATGTACTGTTTTCGCTCGCTTGGAAACCGGGATCGTGGGTTCGAATCCCACTCAGGGCATGGATGTTTAGTTTGTGTGTGTGGTTTTTCTGTGCTTGCCTACAGATAGAGGCCTTGCGACAAGCTGATCACCCGCTAAAGGAGTCCTACCGAATGTGTAAAATCTAGAAAAACCGAAATGAACGGAGAAGCTCATGGAGGTACGCCTAGGCCCACTGGGGCTGTAGTGCCAAGGGGAAAAGAAAAATTCCATAAATATGGTTACATGCTGTAATTTTGTTTTAGATGTGTTTACCATTACAACACGAGATATAAGAGGCAAGAAACCTGTAAACATTCACATGTTAAGTTGTGTTCTTCTTTAATTCAGATTTTACTCCTTGTGCGACGTTTCCCTTCCAAGACTAAGGATGAAGATGGGGGGTACTGAAACTGCCATCCATTATTCATATGCAGCTCTCTGCAACACTTCTGTGTTGGCTATTACCAACTGCTCACCATCGAATCAGCGAGGTTCCTACACCGCATCCTCTAAAACAATGAACTATGCATTTCCGGTGCTCAACAATGTTGTCAATACATATAAAATAATAGTTGTGATTAGCTGCACACTTCTCTTAATTCTAAATTAATTTTTGTTTTTGTGTTACTTTAAATTTTCACGTTTCCATGCTAAAACGGCCAGGACTGTCAAATTAAAATTCACCCATCGTTAATAATCTTTCTACAGTTTTTTTATTGATAGTGGGGTGGGACTAAGTCCCTTGTACTGCGGCTACTTCTGGCCTATTGTACCAGCTCCAGATGATAGGTGAGGGTGATTGTGGAGCAATTGGTGGAATGAAGATTGTCAGGAGAAACCGAAGTACTCGGAGAGAACCTGCCCCAGCGACACTTTGTCCACCACAAATCCCACTTGACCAGACCCGGGATCGAACCCGGGCCGTCGCGGTGGGAAGCCAGCAACTATTCGCTTGAGCTATGGCGCGGCCATTCTACATGTTATAACCAATGCATTTGAACACACATAGACGACGATGCCACCTCTACTGAGCGTCACTAAACAAAACAGTCTGCTTCAGTTTATAAATTACGTAACAAGATTTGTGTAATTAACAAAGCATCGCTTCATATAAAAAGACATATCAGCGGGTGGTCTCTCAAAAGCAGTTTCACATTTACAATACAAAAGGGCGGCCCTCGTACGACTCACCCTTCTCACTTTTCCACCGTGAGAAAGTTACTGTTTCTGTCAGTGGCCATTTAACTCCCGCATGGATCGCAACACTCCCTCCGGTGACTGACTGCTGCTCGGCACCCAGCTGGTGGCACATGGTGGCCGCAAAGAGCAACCGAAAGTATACAGCCTCGCTACTGATTGACCGATTGATTGAGTCATATATTGAAGACGAGGAAAGAAGTCCCATGGATGGTGGGATGACGGGCCACTGCCTACTGTTGTATTCCCCTCCAGTCCTTGTGACGTGTAAAGCAGCCCAAATCGCTAAACGCAAGCAGAGCTTATGACGGCCAGAGTCTAGACGGCTGGAGGAGAATATTGGTGTGTAAGCTGGAGGGGGGTGTGGAGGTGGTGCATACATGTTGCTCCGTTCCGCAACCTCAACATGGGCGTTCAAGTGCAGAGGGTGACTTCTACGGAGGATAATAGTGAATGGTGAGTAGGTAAGAATCTGTTAGGAGAAGGCATTACTGTATGTCTATGCTTTCACTTCTTGCCCTTTGGACGAATGTCAGATATAAAACGTTTGTAACTTGAGGTGCTCACTTGAATACCAGAGTGTGACGACATTGGGCCACAGAATAATACGTCTCTTTGAGCGATAGGGGTGCGATGCATGAGAAATGGCTCCCCAAGTTTGACACGTGACCCCTAGCCTCTCATGTCACCTCTATTCTTCGTGCGTAAGTGGTTGTAATTACAGAGGGAGGGCCTTATGTCTGCACACGCGGCTTTAGAAAGCAAAGAAGACAAAAAAAAAAAGGATAATGCAAGAACAAACAAATAAAACTCAGGCCTACTGCAAATGGATAGTTCATTTGGTTCACTCGCAATGGACAGAGATGGTTACCTATGGGAGAGGAAATTGCGCCTAATTCTAATGCAAAGTATAACCATTCCATAATGAAATCATTTCAGAAATAATAAATATGAGCCGTAATAGTGATGGATAGTCGTAGCTTTCCATTGGTAAGCTCTGAGTTCATTGAAAGGTGCGATATCTTATTTCAATTTACGTCACATATCAGAAAGCGAGCCTATTTAATTTCGTGAGCTACTGGGGGTTATTTCGTGGAACTACACGCTAAGAGCTCCGTGGAGTATGTGTTCAGCAGTGACGCACTTCTACGAAGGTATATGGATCAATCATGGAATTATCTCTGGAGAAGGCGGCTAGTCGGTGGCTTCCCACAGCGGCTGCCCGGGTTCGAGCACGGGCCAGATCATGTGGAAATTGTGATGGACAAAGTGGCACTGGGGCAGGTTTTCTCCGAGTACTTCGGTTTCCCCTGCCAATCTTGATTCCACAAACTGCTCCACAATCACCCTCACCTATCATCTGGGGCTGGCACAATAGGCCAGAAGTGGCCACAGTACCCTGTGGACTCAGCCTCACCCAACTAAAGTCACTCACTCGTGTATCTGAGCCCTTGTTGAGAAGCTGCCAATTGTGCAGCTACTCAACAACTTCCCAGCATTTTATGGAACTTGAAGTTTCATTACCGTACTCACAAGAGCCCTCTACTGGTCCCTATCCTCAGCCAGATCAATCCAGTGCATAACATCCCATCCTGTCTCTCTAAGACCAATTTTAATATTGTCCACCCACCTATGCCTCGGTCTTCCCAGTGGTCTCCTTCCTCCTGCCTTTCCCACCAATATCCTATATGCATTTCTCCTCGCCCCCATTCTTGCTACATGCCCTGCCCATCTCATCCTTCTTGACTTGATCATTCTAATTATACTTGGAGAAGAGTACAAGTTATGAAGCTTCTCATTATGCAGTTTTCTCCATCCTCCTCTCACTTCATCTCTCTTTGGTCCAAATATTCTCCTCAACACCCTATTCTCAAAAACTCTCCGTATATTTCGCCCGCTGCCATGCAAACGCTGCTTCAGACAATTCGTTGCTTGGATATTGCCAGCTGTTGTATAGCAATGGATGCGTTCTGATTCCTAGCCGTTGTCGAGGGAACGCTGCTCGTTGCCTGATCTCACTAAACCATTCCGGCTTTCTGACGGCACGTCGTATTATTTAAGGTATCTAGACTTTATGCCATTTCTGCGAGGTAGTAACTGAATTTTTAAATTATATTCATATGAATTTTAGCCCAAAAACTGACCGGGTTTTACAAACGTTCTTTCTGTGTAAGACTGTAAGTCTATGTTTCACGTATCCAGTGTATTTTCCTTCACGTATTTTGAAAGATTTCCCACCCGAGTGTATCATGCTGAATGTAGCAATTAGCTACATCTGCAACCCCAGTTATTTATCCTGTGGTCTGATCTAGGCCCACACTCCTGGTCTTTGGGGTGCGTGACGACCGGGGATCTTTATCTGCAACACCGCCACGTCGCATGGCGTCGATGCGGGTTACTTCTGGCTGATGGGCGGCCGGCGTCTGACTCTCCACA